TATAGGATGTTATATATCGTTGGAAAGCTTGAATTTTTTGCGAACTGTCGACGTAAGCTTCATGTCGACAGTTTTTTCGGTTCAAAAGTTATGGTTGTCGATATATTTTCCAATAACCACCCCTTATTTTCTTATCTAGGAGACATATCGAAAAATTATTTCATGCATTCGATGCGGAACGCAAAGGTCTACCAACGTGCTAAATTTCGGGACGATTGGACACGGTCTGTATGATCCTTGGTCGGCGATGCCCGGGTCACTCTTGACCCGGGATAAAAAAAATTCGGCAATAAATATTGAAATCGACGGTGGCTCTACAGGGCTGTAAACGTGCAAAATTAGAAGAGAATTATGCGCGGGAAATTTCGCGGGAGGTTCGTGAAGAAATCGAACGAGATTCAAATTGAATTGAATTGAATTGAATTGAATTCGATCGGATCGATGATCGAACGGCCGAGGAAATGAAATCGCGGCGAAATGTGAAAGAGCGATATTCGCCGGCGTTAATCTTATCGGGTTTTCTGTGTCTATCTTATCTGATCTTGTTTTCGAGTATTTTATTTGGCTTGGACACACAATTTTGGAAACGGAACGTCCGCAGGTACGGTGGACTGTCGTGGGTAGATAATAACTCGTGGCATCCTGAGTTCGAATCGCGGCGGATCTTTTTCGACGCACTTTTTACATTGCCCAAAAAACACAGAAGCTCCGCACGAGTCTCCCTTCACAGTTCAGAAAATTTCAGTACACTCTTTTCAAGGTGCTCTCACTTGAAGCCGGATCGCTCGAACACGATTGGTCACAGCTGGCCATAAAAATTCACATAGATCGCTGAATCCTGTCTGAATATTTTGCATTACATTTTTGTACTCTGTGCCAATTAGTTCTCTAGGAAAAAATTCGCAAAGACCATTCATTTTTTAAACGGAATTCATACCGAGAACTCAATCGCGCCCTTTTCAAGGTGCTCTCACTTGGAGCCGGATCGCTCGAACACGATTGGTCACAGCTGGTCATAAAAATTCATACAGATCCTCGAAACCTGCCTAAATATTTCGCATTAAATTTTTTTACTCTGCGTCAACTGGTTCTCTAGGAAAAAATTCGCAAAGACGACCCATTTTTAAATCAGAATTTATACCGAGAACTCAACCGCGCCCTTTTCAAGGATCTCTCACTTGGAGCCGGATCGCTCGAACACCATTGGTCACAGCTGGTCATAAAAATTCACACAGATCCTCGAATCCCTCCGGAACATTTTGCATTAACTTTTTTCGTCCTACGTGAACTGCTTCCCTAGAAGAAAAAATCGCAAAGCCGCCTCGTGTTTTAAACTCAAATCAAAACCGAGAAACAGACAGGCGAGCTTGTCGGCTGTTAACAACGAGAATCTGAGGGTACAAAAATTCGAACACGATGCTGAATCAAGCTCGAACATAGTGCAAAAGGTCCGGGGCGCCTCGATCGCCCAGTTTCCTCCGAATAAATTGCGGAAAATCGCGGGGACCCGGGATCGCTCGTGTCTCGTCGCCGCCGGTTTTCGGCCGCGGGTTCGCCTAATCGTCCGGTAGATAAGGGCCCCGTCCATTTCCCGTGGGGTCGCGGGCGCGCTGGGATTGGCCGATCGCGCGATACGGGCCCCGGTTCGGCGGTTGCGTCACCGATGACCTTGGCGATCCGGAGGGCGCGGTGCGGCGCGGGCCGCCGCGATTGATAAATCGTTCGGAGGCACTTGATCGTCGAGTGGGTCGGCCGATGATCAGTGTTTCACGCACTAAAGCGCAGATCAGGACCCAATTAACCGAGATCTCGGCGGCTGATCGATTATCATCGGCGATCGTGCCCGCGGTAAGTGACTCGAGCGTCGAACGTTCGCGCGACCCGCGGCCATTTTATCGTGCGGATCGGCGAAACCGATCGATCCCGGATCGGAAGATCGATCGGCCAGCTGTTCGGGAGCGATCGCCTCGTCCCGAGCGGAATCCGTGGTTCCGCGCGAGACCGTTTTCCGCGAGGCGTCGCCGCGCGAGCCGCCGCGCCGCGACGCGGCGGCGAGATATCGGTAACGATTGTTCGAGACCGACCGGCCGGATTCCGGCGGTTCCCCGCGCAGATCTCGCGTTTCCCTCGCGTATTAATTTACTTTTGTGAGCGACCGGGTTACGCAATCGGCTAGCGACACAGAGAGCCTGTCAGTGCTAATTAACGGACCGGGCTGCCAGCACCGTCGCGAGCGCGCGCGCGTTCGCTCTCACTGTGGGAACACGAAATCCTATGAAAAATCGGCGAACGGGATGCGCGCCGGTCGCGCCGCACGGAAATCGAGACGCTCCGCGGACGGAGTCGCCGATTTCGCGATATTCTCGGTTATCTAATCTACCCGGGACTTGTACCGACCGGTGACTAATTAATACTTTTCTCAGATCTCCGCGATTTCACGAATTTCTGGAATCGGCGGCCGAGTCGATTTTCGGAGTTCTCTCGGGACGAGTGGAAAGTTTTTCGATCGTCGGCTGTTACCGCGAAAATAACCTTTACCAGGTGTGAATATGTTCTCTTTGTGTTTCTGCGATGTTCAAGGTGGCGGCGGTGGAGCTGTGTGTTGTCGAATGTGATTTTTGGCGGGGCCTTTGTGTCGATCGTGAAACGATCGTGGAAAGGAAATTAATCGGAGGAAAGTTTTTCGTGCGCTTCTTAACGCTGGAACTGCCAAACTAATCGAAATGCGGTGAATTCTCCCTAATTGACGCTTAGATTGTGTACGATAATATAGTTGGGAATAGATTTGGGTAGTGAAGACACGATTGTTCGAGCCCTGCGGCTCGTTTTTATAGTAACCGATCGATAACAATACTCGAATAATCGTGTCTCCTCTTCCCAAATTGTCCATTTTCGTGTACAGTGATTTCTCCCTTATTCGCGCTCAGATTGCGCACAAAAATGGACGATTTGGGAAAAGTTGAAACGATTGTTCGAGCTTCGCGGCTCGTTTTTATAGTCACCGATCGTCGACGACCTGTAAAAACGAGACGCAAGGCTCGAATAATCGTGTCGCCTGTTCTCGAATTGTTCACTTTTGTGCGCAATCTGAGCGCGAATTAGGGAGAGATTACTGTATTCGCATTGTGATTCGGAGTGAAATTATCTTGTCAGAGTATTCTATCGCGTGAAACGCGAATGCGATCGAATACATGGAAACGTCGAACGGCAGCGAAACCGCGCGAGAATTCAGAATACAGTGATTTTTCCGTAATTCGCGCTCAGATTGGACAATTTGGGAGAAAGGGATGCGATTGTTCGAGCCTTGCGGCTCGTTTCTACAGTCACCAATTGTCAACGACTATAAAAACGAGACGCAGGGCTCGAATAATCGAATCTTCTCTTTCCAAATTGTCAATTTTTGTGCGCAATCTGAGCGTGAATTAGAGAGAAATTACTGTACAATCTCGGCGTCAATTAGAGAGACCTACCGAATCTATATTCCAATTTGTTCTCTCAGAGTTCCAGATGCTATAAAAATGTTTTTGTCATAAATTCGTATACGAACTTCTTCGTTCAAGTCTATAATCTAACAAAAAACATATAAAATTTACACGAACCAAATCTCTGTCATTCTCGCAAAACAATGTACATTAGTCACGTTCAGGTGGTTCCAGCGTCAAATAATCCTTGCCGGAGATTCAGAGCGCTTATTAGAGATCAAGCGCGGAGAATTTCAAGTGAATTGGGACACAGACAGTTGCGAAATTACTCCGGCAACGACGATGCGGTGCGTCCGTAACGGAGGATTTACGGAGCGCAATTGTGTGCTGACGTCGTTTTGCAAAACGTAGAAACGCAGAAAAAATGTCGAATTCGATCGCGGCTTTCGTCGGTTTTTAGCTGAATCCGATAGCAACGGTGTTCGAGAGTGCACGATCGTCTAGAATTTTACGGAATACAGTAATTTCTCTCGGAAATGCCAAATTTTGGGGTGCTCAGAATTTCCTTGCGATCGTTCTACGCCGCTGTGATTTATTGCGACGTCGATGCTAAGGTTCGACGACACAAAATGGTCTATTTTGGGTGCGAGTCGGGTAAAAAAGACCGCGGAGTTATAAGGTACATGATTAATCTCCGTAGAATCGTGGCATGTGGCCTCCGAATTGCCTTCTAAAGTGCATTCGAATCGTGACAAAAAATATTAGAAATGAAAAAATTAAGTTATTCGTTTTTATTCTAGCATTTCTACGACCATAAATTCTCCCTAATTCGCGCCGGATTGTGCACAGAAAATGACAATTTGGGAAGAGGAGATACGATTATATTTCATAGTATATATTACAGATATAGATTATATTAATTAGATTAGATTAGATTAGATAGATTTAGATTATGCATATTATCATACATATAAATTATATTTTATATTTTATAATCGTGGACAATCGGTAATTATAAAAACGAGCCGCAAGGCTCAAATAATCGAATCCCCTCTTCCGAAATTGTCCATTTTCGTGCAAAATCTGAGCGCGAATTAGAGAGAATTTACTGTATTCGTATTAATGTACGCCGGAATATTGGACGCTGCCTTTTTCTTGCCGACTGCCCCGAATTTCTACGAAAAATCGCGACTTAGTATTCTCGGATTTGCCGGTTTCAATTCCTTCGAACATTTCTGGGAGAAATTACTGTAGATTCCGCTAGGGTCTCGCAGGTTTGCTGAAACGTTGTATTGTTCTATTGTTTCAGAAGGTGTCCGTTCACCGTGGCCCTATGATCGCTCGGAGCGTCCTCGCTAGGACCACGCTTCCGTCAGAGAGGCGTTTTTGGCAGCAATCCTAATCTCCTCCCCCTTGTTTCCCGGATTTCCCTCCGATCCCCTAATCTCCTCCGCGCCTGTCCGTCGAACGACCCCCTCTGAGAGCATCCCCCTCGGACCACGAACGGCGGAGGAGGAGGAGGAGGGGGCGGACGAGGAGGAGGAGGAGGAGGTGGAGGAGGTGGAGGAGGAGGTGGAGGAAGGGTCGGGCGCTATAGAGGAGGGTTCTGGACAAGGATGGACATGAGCAGCGAGTCGAGCGCGGCTAGGTGGTACGAGCCACCTAGATCCACCCTGGAGCCGCCCTCGGGAGGCGCTGGAGTCGCCGGAGTCGTCGGCAACCCCACCGACTACAGGGGATACTACCCTCACGCTGCACCCACCCCGCATCACCCCGCCGCCGCGGCTGCCGCACACTATGCTCATAGTAAGTTCGCCTTCTTTTTCGAACGTTCTCCGTTCTCCTTTCTCGGTCCGCTAAAATAAACCTTCTGTCCGTTTAAATAAACTTTCAGTCCATTTAAATAAATTTTCAATCCGTTTAGAAAAATCATTTGCTTGCTACTCGATCGTCACGTCGAATGGACTTTCGTTCGCAGCTTGTGCGAAGGTTGTAAAACGGCGAAAAAAAATCGTAGGGCAATTTTTCAGGGCTCATTCGAAAGAGGAGACTTCAAGCTTGAAGTTCGGATAATGTTTGATCCGGGAGCAAAATTTTTTGAGACCTGTACAGTGGTGTGAATTTTGAAGATTATTTTCGCGTTTCTTAAGCATCGTGTTTTTAAGCATGACGAGCCACTTTTCATTCAGAGTGCGATAGAATGGCAACAAAAAATTGTAGATTGAATTCGTTTAGACCATTGGAAAGAGGGGATTTCATTCTTTAAATTCTCGTAAGATCGAATAGAGAAGAAAATTTCTTGAGTTCTGTACAAACGAATACATTATGAAGTCCATTTTCTCGTATTTCAAGCACAACGAGCCATTTTTCATACAAACTGTGATAAAATGGCAACGAAACGCCATCCATACAACTTCTTAGGCTCGTTTTAAAGCAAAGACTATACACTTTAAATTCACGTAGGTTTTAATCATGGAGCAACTTTCTCAAGCTCCGCGGACGAGGTTGAATTCGAAAAATCGTCAAGAAATACCGATTTTCTTATTCTCCCCTGGAACCCTAACACAAAGCAGCCATCGTAAAAAATCAGCTGAGACGGATGAAAGTAGAAACTCTACCGTGTAAAATGAGCCCAGATTCATTACCGTACGATTTTTTTTCATCGAGTTACAGCAGGTTGAATTTCGACGATATTTTACCGAAAAAGACCCATAAGCCAACAGTGAAGCACGAGATATCAGAAAAATTCTAGGGCCAAGAAAAATCTAACGAGGCCCACGTAAAAATTCCCCGGCTTAAAAAGGGGGCGTCGGGTCCAGGATAAAAATCGCGGAACCTGTAGGATGACCGTAAGGTGTAGGAAAAATTATAGGGTGGAGAGAAAAATTGTAGAATCAAGAGAAAAATTGTGGAGTCAAAAGAAAAAATAGTAGAATCAAGAGAAAAATTTGTATAGTCAAAAGAAAAATCGTAGAGTGAAGAGAAAAATTTGTATAGTCAAGAGAAAAATTTGTATAGTCAAAAGAAAAATCGTAGAGTCAAGAGAAAAATTGTATAGTCAAAAGAAAAATCGTAGAGTCAAGAGAAGAATTGTAGAGTCAAGAAAAAAATTGTAGAGTCAAGAAAAAAAGTTATAGGGTCAAGAAAAAAAATTATAGAGTCAAGAAAAAGAATTGTAGAGTCAAGGAAAAAAAAGTTGTGGAGCCAAGAGAGAAATGTTGAGCCTGACATTGTAGGGCCCAGAAAGAAAATTGCGAGCGCAGCGACGGTTGCAGTAGCCGCAGTCTAATTTCGGCTGGTCTGCGCGTCGACGGAGCGTGAAAAAAAGGTAGCATCGAGCGAGGGTACCGGCGGGCGAGGAAGGGCAGGGGAGGCCGAGAGGCGGAGGAATAAGGGCCCGGATTCAGCACGGAAAGGGGGCCAAAAAGTGCACGGCCAGCGAGGAAACTCGATCCACGCAGCCGGTCGGGATCTCGAGGCGGCTCGGGAACGCGATATCCCTGATTCTCGCCGACGCGCATGGATCATACTCGGCCCTCTGTTAACTCGTGCTGCGAAACCGAAAAAACTAGACGGTGCCCCTAATCGGAATCAAATCTCTATCTGTCGCTGGAGCCGCTCCGCGGCGGAGTCTCTCCGCGACTTCTTTACGACTTCTGCCCGCCCCCCCCCTCCCTCGCCGTCCCTCCGTGACGTCCTCTTTCTTTCACGGCCGGTCCGGTGGAATTTTTTCCGTCGGACTGCGGCGAGAGCGCGCACGGTTTCTTCCGAAGAGAAAGATCGAAAGGACGCGAGGCGAGTCGAGGCGACGCGAGGCGACGCCGGATAGAGAGATCTCGTTTCGAGTCCCCGATAGAGGGTCCGTGGAGCTCTCGCCGGGTTCGCCGTAGCCGATGTTTCTGTCCGCGAGTGATCGATCGTCGAGAGCGCGACGCGTATCGGGGTGCCGGAGTTCACCGGCCAGAAAGAAAAAAGCAAACAAGACGGGCGGACGCTCGATGCGCGCGGGGATGCATAATACACAAGGTGGTTGTTGCGCAGACAGGAAGGAAGCGCAGCGGACCGCGAAGCCCGCGGGCCCTCGCGGAGGTGCATGCGTAATTGCGGGCCACGGGAGGTCGATGCTTTTGTTTTCTGGGTTAGACTACCCGTTTCGGCGTTCCACGCGTTTCACTTGCGCGACCGCCACGATTTTCCTCGTCGCTGCTGGTCGAACCGTCCAGCCGATTTAAAAATCTCGCGCGTCAGCGCGAAGCGCGCGAGAAACTTAGTCGAAAATGTGTACACGAGTTTTCCGATGCGAGGCTTCGTTCTCGAGATATTCGCCGTTGAATCGTCGAAGTAGAAACGGACTGCCATGATCAGACATCTTGTTCTTCTCCGAAATTCGGTCTCGGGTTGATATCAATGGTATGTAGGATTTTTTCATGGAAGATCATCGCGTTTTTGAGGTCCTGATTCATTCTACTTAGGGTTGTTACAGATCCTTTCGGACACCCGGTATAAGAAGTGTTGGAAAATCTATCGACCGCTGTAACTTTTGAACCGAAAAAGATACGGACACGAATCTTGCGCCAAAAAAATCGCAAAAAATCAAGCTTTCCAACAACGTATAACATCTTATGCTTCGCACACTTTTCATATTCAAAAATTCAGGAAACATGTTTTCTTATTGTAAAAAGAANGTAGAGTCAAGAGAAAAATTTGTATAGTCAAAAGAAAAATCGTAGAGTCAAGAGAAAAATTGTATAGTCAAAAGAAAAATCGTAGAGTCAAGAGAAGAATTGTAGAGTCAAGAAAAAAATTGTAGAGTCAAGAAAAAAAGTTATAGGGTCAAGAAAAAAAATTATAGAGTCAAGAAAAAGAATTGTAGAGTCAAGGAAAAAAAAGTTGTGGAGCCAAGAGAGAAATGTTGAGCCTGACATTGTAGGGCCCAGAAAGAAAATTGCGAGCGCAGCGACGGTTGCAGTAGCCGCAGTCTAATTTCGGCTGGTCTGCGCGTCGACGGAGCGTGAAAAAAAGGTAGCATCGAGCGAGGGTACCGGCGGGCGAGGAAGGGCAGGGGAGGCCGAGAGGCGGAGGAATAAGGGCCCGGATTCAGCACGGAAAGGGGGCCAAAAAGTGCACGGCCAGCGAGGAAACTCGATCCACGCAGCCGGTCGGGATCTCGAGGCGGCTCGGGAACGCGATATCCCTGATTCTCGCCGACGCGCATGGATCATACTCGGCCCTCTGTTAACTCGTGCTGCGAAACCGAAAAAACTAGACGGTGCCCCTAATCGGAATCAAATCTCTATCTGTCGCTGGAGCCGCTCCGCGGCGGAGTCTCTCCGCGACTTCTTTACGACTTCTGCCCGCCCCCCCCCTCCCTCGCCGTCCCTCCGTGACGTCCTCTTTCTTTCACGGCCGGTCCGGTGGAATTTTTTCCGTCGGACTGCGGCGAGAGCGCGCACGGTTTCTTCCGAAGAGAAAGATCGAAAGGACGCGAGGCGAGTCGAGGCGACGCGAGGCGACGCCGGATAGAGAGATCTCGTTTCGAGTCCCCGATAGAGGGTCCGTGGAGCTCTCGCCGGGTTCGCCGTAGCCGATGTTTCTGTCCGCGAGTGATCGATCGTCGAGAGCGCGACGCGTATCGGGGTGCCGGAGTTCACCGGCCAGAAAGAAAAAAGCAAACAAGACGGGCGGACGCTCGATGCGCGCGGGGATGCATAATACACAAGGTGGTTGTTGCGCAGACAGGAAGGAAGCGCAGCGGACCGCGAAGCCCGCGGGCCCTCGCGGAGGTGCATGCGTAATTGCGGGCCACGGGAGGTCGATGCTTTTGTTTTCTGGGTTAGACTACCCGTTTCGGCGTTCCACGCGTTTCACTTGCGCGACCGCCACGATTTTCCTCGTCGCTGCTGGTCGAACCGTCCAGCCGATTTAAAAATCTCGCGCGTCAGCGCGAAGCGCGCGAGAAACTTAGTCGAAAATGTGTACACGAGTTTTCCGATGCGAGGCTTCGTTCTCGAGATATTCGCCGTTGAATCGTCGAAGTAGAAACGGACTGCCATGATCAGACATCTTGTTCTTCTCCGAAATTCGGTCTCGGGTTGATATCAATGGTATGTAGGATTTTTTCATGGAAGATCATCGCGTTTTTGAGGTCCTGATTCATTCTACTTAGGGTTGTTACAGATCCTTTCGGACACCCGGTATAAGAAGTGTTGGAAAATCTATCGACCGCTGTAACTTTTGAACCGAAAAAGATACGGACACGAATCTTGCGCCAAAAAAATCGCAAAAAATCAAGCTTTCCAACAACGTATAACATCTTATGCTTCGCACACTTTTCATATTCAAAAATTCAGGAAACATGTTTTCTTATTGTAAAAAGAAGTTATTGACCGGAGCGTTCACTTCGAAGGAGTCGTACAACGTTGATCAAAAATTCAAGTTCGATAGTCCTTTCGACGCAGATTCCAACAACGCTTGCCGCAATCCCGGCAAACCATCCGTCTTTCGCCGACAGCGTTGCTTATTTTTCGCAAATCGAGAAACCCTCGAAAACGCGCATCTCGAAACTGCGACAGCGCTCGCACCGGTCGTAATCCACGGTGTCCCGATCTTGGGACCGGTGGATCAGAGATTTCGCGGCGCAGGGAGGTCGGTGGAAACCGGTGTATCCGCCCGGTCGGGTCGCTCTTTCCATTTTCCGTTCGATCCAGCCTCCCGTTCCAGTTTCCCGTCGCAAGATAGCAACCCCGTCCGCTCTATTTCCGGCTGGAACGCGGCCGTTCCTCCCCGGCAGCCTCGAGGTCGGTGCA